GGATTCCAGCCATACTGCACGAAGCAGGTCAGCAAAGCACATAAGGAAGGACTTTATCTCTTGTGCTTCCTCTCCCCACCTGTAAAATGGTGTGACTATAATGACTTTTGTACCTTACTGCATGACCTACTCAGGAAATAAGTTTTACTGTGTTGGGTATTGTATGTAAGTTTTGTGAATGAGGACGTAAATCACACTGTTTCAATAGAGTCTTGGTTCCTTCCTTCTGGTGGTTGGGTTTTGTCTGCTCCACATTGCAGGTGGACACACTCCCCATACAAAAGCAAGTAGCTGTACACTTTATGATGGTAACCCAGCTGATACTTACGTTCATGAACACGTCGTGGGCGTAGCTGTCAGTGTCAGCGTCCCAGAAACAGCGCGCAGCCATACTAGACAAAGAGACAGAGCGGAGCCATTACCCACAGAGTTCATGTGTAGGGACCTAAGTGACCACAGATACTCTCCTCGAAAAGCAAACGGAGCTTCTTTCAAAGATAAAGCGTTCTCCTGAATCCTGAGCCTAGATCCCCACTGCTGAACTCCCCCACGTGCTGTAACCCCCTCTGTATGTGGGTCAAGCTCCATTTTCAAACTCATCAGCTACCAACCCTGCCACACGCCCTGTGCAGCAGAGCTTGAAACCTCATTGCTATGCTGCTTAAGAATATTTGACTTCTGGCCTATGCGTATTGGCGGCTAAATTAGCTTATTTGTTCTTGTCCTTCACCTCCTGCACCCTCGTGGTAAATGCTCCCAATTTATTTATAGGGAGCTATCGTATTCCTTGGCAGACGTCGTGTTACTAGACCACGAGCCAAGGTCTTCTAGTCCTTTCATATCTGTACTCTCTGCTCCCTGACCATCCTGCTGGCCTTTTTCTACATCTGGTTCAGTCCAAGCCTTACTTTGAAGACAAGCAACCAGAACATAATAATATTGAAACTTTTATGATTGTAACTCTGTAAATCGTTTGGGTAAATGATTCTTGACAAGACAATGGGAGAGAAGGAACAAACAGACCTAAAACCAGGTAGCAGAAACGTCAGTGGGCTGATTGCCCAAGAAACTTGGCTGTTCTGCTTGAAATGTGTCCTGAAGATGAACTGGACTAATTATAATACGAAAACCAGTCCTCTAGAAGTTAGGATGCCTGCCTCCACTTGAAGACTCTCACCCACTGAGCTTGTGCAGTAAAATGAAGAGATATTGTACCTTTAATTGAAGATGAGGACATTTTACACCAATCAGCTTTAAGATAAGGAATTATGAGCACCAGTAAAAAGGTGATAATGAATATGTTAATTATGCTAATTTATAAATGAATGACTGTTTCAATGCAGGGTGTGTTAGCATCCTTTCCTTCACCAAAATGCTAATAAATAGCTAATACTTCAACTCTGTATGTTATTGGCTTGCACGCTGGAAAAACGATCCCAGGAGAACAACAATGCCCTTTCCTTCACTGAAATGCTAATAAATAGCTAATACCTCAACTTTGTATGTTATTGGCTTGCACACTGGAAAAACGATCCCAGGAGAACAACAATGCCGGGGTATTACAGATGAGACCTCACTGCTACCTTGTTTAATGTCATTGACACTCCCCTTTCTCTGCTGCAAATGCCCACCTCCCTGCCTGACCCAGCTAACTGGATCCCTGTTTATGGCACAGTGTGTTGTTCCTAGTCCCTATATGACAGTATGACTTACTGTTAGAAGGCTGTTCAATTTCATCCTTTTTTTCCTATTACCTTAGCCCTCCCAGGGTTATTCTGACCTTCCCCCCCTCCAGTCCAGTAATCCCCTCTGCCTCTGGAATACTCTGGTTACCCAATATTTTCTATTAAGGATGTTAGTGATCATGCTTCAGTCTTGCTTCCTGCCTATTGCAAACCAGAGAATTTCCCCAATTGCTGTGTCAGTCTGTGTTGCTGGGCTTCACGTTTCAAATCAGACCACCTCATTGAACTGTTCATCCTGGTACGGTGCTTCTGGAGCAGTCTGCCTGCAGACAGACATTCCTGACAAAATCCTGAGCAGCAGGTACAGACATTCTTTCCTGGCCTCTCCTTCCTGGCCTCCACTGAGGCAGCAGATCTGATTACAGCTCTGCTGCATTTATCTTCTGCTGGAGTACCAGGCACAATAATAAAGATAAGCCCAGCAGATAAAACACATAAACCTTGTGGGCTCTTCTGTCTTCTCCCTACTCACTTGTAATGGAAAGCTACAGCCTACTACTGCAGCCAAGAGGAAATCTTTTGCCTGACTTCAGGCATCTGGAGCTGGACTGCAAGTGCTCAGCACCCACAGCCCAGGCTCGATTCCCAGGACAGTATTGCATGTGGATTATTGATATTTAAACTTCTGAAAAATGCCTACCTGGGGGGATTAAATGCAAATGAAGTACTTAAGGAAATACAGCTTTAGATTGAAGTGAGTTACCATGGCTCTTGTGCTCCAGCAGGGCTTTGAGAGCATGGACTGGGTGTGTGCTCTAGCTCATCGTGACTGCAACGTAAAATGCCTTTCTGCAACACTCCTCACAAATGCTTTTCAGCATTTCAGCTTGCTAAGAACCACCATACAGCCAATTATCACTGCACAATTCAATCAGCCACAGTACAAGCCCTCACTTTCCACTTCAAAGAAACTGCTTTACACTTTATCATCTGCAGAGTGATCTTCGTAGCTAAGAAAGTTGGAAGCAGCTTCCAAAATAAAAAATCCCACCCTAATCTGATAGAAATGATAGTAATATGGTTAGTAGATGAAAAACTTACTTTACTCCTTCTCCTCTCTGCTCTCCAATCACAACCTGCACCACCATTTTGTACCTGTCAAATCCCTCCTCTGGAGAGAGAGAGAGAGAGAAAGAGAGGAAAAAAATAATAGTGAGAGCAACAACTTGTTTAAAACATGAGCCCAAAACAGGACCCAGAAAGCTACAGATTTTTGGTTACAAAGCAAGTGTCCTGTACAAGTCCATGAAACTGGCAAAGTGGACATACTGCTTTGTGGCTTCATTTTCCTAGGTACAGAGTACCACAGTCTGATTGGAGTTAAGGGGTGAGCAGGGTATTTGGCATCCACCAAAAGACACATCTAAGGCAGAAGACACCCCTGAACAGCCACACTGTATGTCAGCATTCCACATTGACAGCTTTCAAGAACTGAACACATGGAAAGAATGTAAATTAGGCTGCTGGTGGACAAAATCCAATTTTTAAAAAAATTGGCTTTTTTAAAAACTATTCTCATGCAAAGGTATTGCAGAGATTCTTCAGCCATATAGGTGCTTCCTCTGCTTCTGAGATGGGATAAAAGGACACATAAAAGCGTGTGCAGGTCTCCATTATGTGTCTGCAAAGAAATGCAGTTGTTTTACAATAGTAAAGAAATACCTTGGGGGCACAGGCCAGATCCAATCAGGCCATGGCAATGTTCCAGAAGCCAAATCAGAGCAAGCATGTTTAAAATAAAATATAGATTTTAATGCTTGTTTCCAACAAAGCAGTGTCCCAGGAAGACTACAGTGCAATCTTTCCACTGGAGAATTGAACACAACATGCTGTGTCTGGTAACATCCACCATGTCAATGCTTTCCAGAGATGCCAGCTGATAAAACAGCCACACCAGTCCAGCCTCCCTTCAGGCTACTGCAAGTGTGTTTACAGATTGCTGAAGCCAAGTCCTGGGCATATTAGCTCGGCATCAACACGTGCTGGGACTACAGTTGCTGCTGGTTTTAAAGCAGATATGTAACTCTGGGAGAAGCATAAATCCACAGTTCCTGTTGAGGGTGACGGTACGTCTGTGGCACCATGTCAGGGTAGCCCAGCAGATGGAGCACCAGCCTGTCACCAGGAATAAGGCAAATAAAAAGTGACTGTGCCAACTCATATCTATGTACTTGTTCCAGCACTGAACACAGGAAACACCTGCTGGAGCCTGAAGTTTAGTTCTTGAACTCAAAAATGTTGGAAGGCATCCTGGGCAGCATCATTATGACCTTTTTCCAGCGCAGTGAGGTTGTAGTCACACCCCTCCTTCACTGTATTCCTAACTCCCCCTTTGATGCTCCCACTGGGCCTTGTTCTGATCTCCCTGCTATTCCAACTCTGATCTAACTTGCAGCAGAAAAAAAGCAGGAATGATTCTGTTCACTGGAGTAAGCAGCAATCAGCATTGCTTCGTCCTTCTCTCTAATGCAGCTTCTTTCCCCAAGGCTGACAGCCCACACCAGCCAGTCAATACAAAACCAAATCCTGTCTACTTGAATTAGGTTTCTAGTTCCACAAGCAAAGAACATATGTATATAGGCCAGAATGTTTCATAACACTAGACTCCAGTCAGTCAACAGGGAAGAAACATAGATTTCAAGAATAAAGGAGGAAAGAGGGATTTTGTCAAACGGAGAGGACACAGTAAGAAAAGAAACATCTTCCCCAGCAAACCTCCTTACCTTTCAGTCTGTCTTTTATTGTCTCTGATAAAGACTTTGTAAGCTGAGGCATTTCTTCTGGGTCATACTGTACATTGGCCAGCTTCTCCTTCAGTATCGCATGGATGCATTCCTTTACTGTGGATGATTTAAATCTATCAGGGCAAAAAAACAGCAACAGAAGGCCCAGAGGGTTCATGCAACGTGTAGAAACATACATAACCCCACCTGGGAAAGTTTAGCTTTCACATAATGAAGACAAATGAAAAACCGTGGGGGAAAAAAGCCCAGCTAAGACGGAGATCCTTAACCAGCTCTGCCAAATGCCAAACACCCATAAACATAAGTGAGAAACCAGTTCCACTAGAGGTTACCCCTTCAGCACCATCCCATACCTGTGCTCCCCTCACCTCCCCACCCACAGCCTCCTGCATCTCACATCAAAGTTGCTCTGAGAGCCCAGTTCCCCCCCCCCAAGTCCCCAACCCCCCCAGGGGCTCCC